CCTCGACTTCGCATGGCGGTCGCCGCTGCTCTCTCGATCTCTGCCGCAAGAGACTCTTCGAGATAGTCGAACGCGAGAGTTATATATATACGTATTTCCTTACGCGGCGGGTGCCAACGGTGGGAGAATTGGAATTTCCAGCTTGAACCAGCAAGTGAGAACGGAAAGTGTCGACGACCGAACGAAAAGGCCGCAAGCCGTGAGCAATACGACCAACTACGTATATTCGATGATTCTTGTATTAATCGACTGTGATTGGTCAACTTGCTCATGTGCTAAAGCAAGATTGTGGACCAGGACTAAGCCCCGATCTACAATAGGTGATTTAAGCTTTAACCTATAAGAGATTAACCAATTACGAATGTGAGCCGACAAAATAACCGACTGCGATAAGTTAATTTCTTGAATTTCTACGGCTTGACGCTTAAATCACCATTGCAGACCGAGACTTAGCTGTTGATGACGGAAATATCCGCGGAAAGGAAAGTAAAAGAATTACGAAATTACGGACACGGAATTTGAGAATGACATGAGAGATGCCAGAGAAATAACGAATCGCGATGGCACAAATTTTCCTTTCCACGGATTCTTCTGTCATTGACCGCGTCCGGCAGAGGAAAAAGCAGCTTACTGAGTGCTTAATGATTATTATCTATGACTGGAGTATTCTTTTAGATCTTTGATGGATCCAGGAGAACGGACCAATCAGGAGCGATAATCGCTGAGTAAACAGCTTTTCCCGCTGAACGCGGCCATTGACAGCGTGGACCGCTTTTCCCTCCGCGGATATTTCCGTCATTAACAGCTAGGGGGTTAAACGAGGCATAAAGTCGCCCCGAGTGAAGACGAGTGTGAACGGGGCAAACGGATAAGACGCGCGCTCGCGTAATCACGCTCGAGTGTAAATCACTGGCGGGCACAATACGCGAGGTTTATCGCGCGGCGCGTATTAATGAGTTTGTTTTCGAACGCGACGCTCGGCACCGCCGCGACTCGCGAGGAGCGTTTCTTATTCCTTTTCGGCGTTCGTGAGCACACGCGCGACGGAATTTATCGAGGTACACGGTGAGATTTATGCGCGGCCGTTTCGTCAGCGAAGATCCCTCCAGCGCAGTGCCGGACATGAATGAAGTGCCGCCGCGTTCCTCCGCGGTCGGCCCTTCGCGAAAAAATCGAGCTGACTCAGAGAGATCCGCGTGATCGTATACGCGCGAGAACCACGTGTGTGCTACCGAGAAAAATCCATTTCTCGCGAATCGACCGGCCGGCTGCGGCGGATAACGAAGACCGACCAACGAAGCCGCGCCTTGAAATATTAGATGTTCCGGTTAGTTTTGAGGGCTTAATATACAGGGTGACTCATTTTAAAGTTTCCGCTAAAATATCTCTTTAGAAAAGCATTTAAGAAAAAAATGTTTCAGACAAAAGTTGCTTGGTTTGAAGGGAGACACAAGACAGCGATAGCATTTTGTTTATAGATGGCGCCACTTTCAAGATATTCACTGATCATCGATTTTCTTAAACGGAAAATCCAAATCTTTTATTATATTATCTTTTTCTACCGATTAATTTGAACAACTTTTGTCGGAAACATTTTTTTTATTTGCCTAATATTCTTTGAGATATTTAAGAAAAACTTGGTAACTTTTTCAACATTTAACTTGCAATATCTCGCTAAATACGTCGAAAAGAACTAGTATTAGACTCTTTTATTTTATTTAATCTTAAGAATATATTGCTATAATAGTGCCCTAACTTTCGTTATCGACCTTTGGAAATTTCAAAATTATCAAATTAATCAAATCGAATAAAAATTTCTAGTATCAATTTTTCTTCCGACAAATAGCGAGATATCGTAAGCTGAATGTTGAAAGTTGCCAAGTTTTCCTTAAATATTTCAAAAAATATTGGGCAAAAAAAATATGTTTCAAAGGTTGTTCAACATTAATTGGTAGAAAAAGATGATACAATAAAAAAATTAGAATTTCCATTTAAGAAAATTGATGATCAGTGAATATCTCGAAAGCGGCGCCATTTGTAAACAAAATGATATCGCTATCTTATGTCCCCCTTTAAACTAAGCAACTTTTGTCTGAAACATTTTTATTTCTTGAATGCTTTCCTGAAGAGATATTTTAGTGGAAACTTTGAAATACACCATGTAGATGGCTATAGCTATAAATATACTAGAGATATTTTGAAAATTGGTACGCCATTTTAAAGCTTGGACATTTTTATAAATAATTTGACACATGGCATGTGCATTCGTGAACATAACATTTTGAAAATGCGTTTGAAAATGGAACCTGGTAAAGAACATTTTCGACATTTACTGCTTTATCGTTTCGATTCGAAGAAAATGACTGCTGAAGCTCACTAATTCGTCTCAGAAACTTATTCCGATTTTTCTCCATCGGTTAAGATATACTAGTACTGGTATTGATGATTTTCGTCGTATTGATGATTTCGATTTGAAAGACAAAGAACGTTCAGATCGACCAAAAATGTTTGAAGATGCCGAATTGCAAGCATTATTGGATGAAGACTTAGCTCAAACGCTTCAAGAACTAGCTGCAGCATTAAATGTTGATAAATTAACCGTTTCAAATCATTTACACACAATGAAAAAGATTCATAAAGAAGGCAAATGGAAAGCCATATGCATTGTCTGAATTGACTATTCAAAATCGTTTAACCATTTGCACTTCATTGCTTTCTCGTCACAGAAAGAAGCAGTTTCTGTATCAAATTATAACTGGACATGAAAAATGAATCTGTTATGATAATCCTAAGAGTAAAAAGTCGCGGATAAACCCTGGTCAATTATCGACATCGAGTCCAAAACATAATATCCACAGAAATCAGGATTTATTTTATTTAGGAATGTGTATTTGGTAGGACATGAAAAAGGCGTCGTGTTTTATAAGTTGCTGCAACCGAATAAAACAGTCATTGCTGTTATCAACAACAACAATTTGAATCGATTTGAATCATGCTTTAAACCAAAAACGTCCAATAGCTTGAAGAAAACGCAAAGTAATTTTGTTGCGTGACAATCGCTCGATCGCACGTTGCAAAAACAGTTAAGGATAAACATCATCGGCATTTCAATGGGAGGTCCTACCACATGCCGCCGCGTATTCACCAGACTGTGCTCCTTCCGATTACCATTTATTTTGATCCATACAGCACAGCCTTGCTCAAGTGCCAGCACTTCAAATCACACGAGGAGATACAAAAATGTCTCGATGAGTGGATTGCTTCGAAGGACGAATACTTCTTTTGTCGCGGAACTCACTTGTTGTCCGGAAAACGTTATAGCCAGCAATGGAAAATATTTCGAATAAAATATAATTTCACGTCTCCCAAAATTAAACGTGTCTCTTCTGCGGGAAAAATCCGTCAAAACTAACCGGAACACCTAAAAATAATAACGCGAGGGAAGCCGCGTATTTTCTTCGCGACGGCGCGAGCCGGCGCGGCGAGACGTCGCCTGTCTTTTCGCGCGAGAAATTCCGCAAGATGCGACAGCTCGCGCACTGCTGTGTACAACTGCAAACCTTGCTGTAATCTCGCTCTCCGAAAAGCCGGCGCGCGACACCCTCACGTTCCGCTCGGCAAATATCGGACGCTAATCGTCAAAGTGGTCAGCCCGATCGCGCTCAAGTCGAGAACGTCGACCGCGATCACGCATGAATCACGCGATTGTACGATGCTTTCTTTCTTTTTTGTTTCCGTTCTTTGCCCGCCTCGTGACGGCCGTAGTAATGTTTTCTGCATCTCATGTAACGAACTCTGAGACTGAGTTCAGCGCGCCATTGCAGCAGCAGCGAGTCGCCCGGCGCGCGGATATTTGATATACAATGCTCTTGCGATCAATGATAAGTCATCAATTTGCCCGCTTCACGTGGAGGATGCGACTCTAAAATGTCGCAAGACATCGCGCACCGATACATGCACGAGCATCCCGGATCTTCGACTCGATATTTAGAACGCGTTGCAGCCTCCGTAGAAAGAAAAAAGAACGTGAGTAAAAATCAACGCGATACAGCGCTAGTATTTTTTGCTCAATGCTAGATGGTATGTGTGTGGTGCGTGTGTGTGTGTGTTGGATTATAGCCCAGCCGCGACGATAACGAGGGACGCGATCTACCGCGGAACAGAGCGCTGCCGAGAGAAACGGGCGCGCGCGCGCGAGTACGAAAACGGGCCCGCGAACGGCCCGGAGAAAGACTCGGATGTTTCTTTCCCGCTCTCAGCCCCACGGAAAATTGAAGTCACGACTTTAATAATGACTTCTGCACGATAAGATAACGAGAGACGGCCGCGCGCGTTGTTCGTTCGCTGACGTTGAGAAGCAGGAGCGGCTTATTTATCGCCTGTCCGTGCTTACGAAGCGGGTCGAAAAACCGCTATCGCGCGGCTATTTCGTTCGTGGGAAGCTGCCGCTGCCGCTGCCGCTGCCGGGCGATCGGCGCGCGATCGATCGCTCGTCACTTATCGGAGATACCGCCGAATACACTGACCACCGCCGCCGACGAAGACGCGATGACGGACGAAGCGCGGGCGAATCGTCGCTCGCCGATGCTCGAAAATGTATCGGCCGCACACACGCGGAATATTCCTCCGAGGAATTTCCGCCTCGGCCGACGGCTGGCGTTCGTCCAATCGGCCGCGCGCGGGGAACGCGTCTCGCTCTTTCGCGCGTATATCGCGCTTATTCTTCGCGCGTCGCGTCGCGTCGCGTCGCGCCGGCCCGCGCAAGTGCGAGCGACGCGACTAGCGCGCGCGCGCGCGCGCGCGCGAGCGAGAGAGAGAGAGAGAGAGAGACGACGACGAGAAGCGAGAGAGAGAGAGAGAGAGAAAAAGCGAGAGCGAGAGAGAGAGAGAGAGAGAGAGAGAGAGAAGGAGAATGAGTCGCGAGCACAGACGACGAGAGGGGGGAGGGGGAGGGACGCGCGCGAGTAAGGGATCCTCCGGCGCAGTGCGTATTCCCTTACCTGTGACTCGTGGCCGTGTCCAGCATGGTAATCCCAGTCCTGCGGATGGATGGGGGGGCTACCTCGACATCCCCGCGCGTGAGAGACTCTCTCGTTGACCGATGGCGGAAAGTCGAGGAACTCTCTGCAGCGAGGCAGGCTCTCCACGGCGTCTCCCCCCTTGCCGAGGGAGGTCACACAGCACGAAGCCGCGCGCGACGCACAGTTCGCGAGAGGAGCGGAACGAGCCGAGAGAGGAGAGACCGCGCGCGGGTACTCTCTCGTACCAACGAAATCACACTCCACTGAGCCGTTAATCCGAGGGCGCGCGAGAGAGCGAGAGAAAGAGAGAGAGAGAGAGAGAGAGAGAGAGAGAGAGGGAGAGAACGCGGAAGGACGCCCGTGCTGGCGCGACGTAGACGCACCACTATTCGCTAGTCGGCGACAGAAACGGAGGAGGTCGGGGAGAGATCGCGCGTCTATGTGTGCGTGCGTATGCACGCGATTCGCTTCTCTCCCGTTTTCCGCGAGACTTTCGAAATAGCGAGGCACTCAGGCAGGCAGGCACGCACGCACGCGCGCGCGCGCGCGCGCGATCGCGGTCGCTGTTGCTGCTGCTGCTGTTGCTGTTGCTGTTGCTGCTGCTGCTTGCTTGCTTGCTTGCTTGCTGCTTGCTGTGCGTTTCGGCGCGACGATGAACACAAAGCGGCCGGACGAGAGCTCGCGCGAGAGCCTGAACGTGCGGACGTCGACGGCGGGAGACACGGCCTGAACGCAACCGTCTCGCTCTGCCGGCGCTTCTTTCCTCGCGGACTTCGCGACTCTCAACTAACTACTGCTCGCGTAGCCGTTCGCTCGCACTCGCTCGCTACTCTCGCACGAACAACCGCACGTAAGCAAAGACCGCAACATACTGAGCGAACACATGATTCCGGTGAGGCGTAGTGCCGCCACTCGGCCCGCAGGCGGCGCCACCGTGGCGATGCTCGAATCGGTCTCGATCGACGCTCTCGCTCGGAAAACGATCTATCGATTGCGATCGATCGCGACCCCTTTGAAACGTTACGCTGCGGGTAGACTTTTGTTGGCTTCGTGGCTCTTGTTGGATGTGGTTCTTGTTGCGCAACGGAACTGCGCGTAATTTTTGACTCTCGGGACCGCGCACGCGGTTATCCTCTCGTTTTCACTCTGCTTCACTTTTGCTTTGCTTTGACATTTTTATATCCGATTATCAGAGTTGAGAGGTAACTGGTTACTTGTAACGAAATTACTGTTACAGTTGTTTTTTTTTTCTTTTGGTGTACTGTAACTTAACTTCGTTCCGTTTTCTTCTATCTGTAACTTAACCTAGTTATATTTGTTTGATAACTAATAACTAATTTAATAGTTACTTTAATAATTACTTTCAAACTTATTAATAATATTTCAAACTTAAGTTTCTGGCAGACCAGCACGATAACGCGATGCTTGATATCCAATACAGTTATTCTGACTGTATTTCGAAAACGCGCTATTGCGTTATCTATCTTTATCGTTCATTAAAAAAACAAAGATAAAATAATGCAACAGTGTTGATATTCTCTTCTCCGAACGTAACCCGTATTTCTTTGAAAAAAATTGTCCGCCTATTGGACATTCCCGTCGCGCGTCGCCAGTCCTTATTTATTAACATAACCTGCGTAAACATAACCTGCATTTAGCGTAAAATGTGCTTCGTTGTGTGTTTCAATTGTATACAAAAGTATTCAAGCAATGGATAAAACATCTCGATCTTTGGAGAAGGATTGTAAAATGCCATGTCTATTAAAAAATATTCGAATTATAGCAAAAATTTGGAAACCAGAATAACTGAGCATTTCTTTGCAAAACGCTGGCAAAAAATTATTCATGCAAGTAGAACTTCAACTGCAAACTCAAGAAAGCATATGAGTGTAAGTCTTTATTTATAAAATATTAATATATATATTTTAGTGAAGAAATCTAATTTTGATATTAAGATTATTTTTAGTATTTTTAGTATTTATTATCTTCATTAAATTCATTCACTTATAATTGTTATTAATAGTCTTAAAGAATAAATATAAATTGCTTATTTAAATGAGTGAATCTGATCTGTGAAAATTATATATAATATAAGGAATATATAATAATCAACAAACCATTTTTATACAAAATTGAAGAAATTGACACAATTACGAAATTGAAAATAATAGCACAATTATTGTAAAAAGGTAATTGAAAAATAGCGACTCGTTACTTTCTAAATAACCTTAGCTGTAACATGTTATTTTTGAAGGTCAGAAACTTGTAATTGTAAGTAGTTACTTTTTCAGTGAAAAACAACTGTATCTGTAACTAGATATTTTTACAAAATAACTTTCCCAACTTTTTAGTTACAAGGTTTTAGTTACAAGGTTGGTCAGCCTTAAACTTAGATATGCCCCATAATTGATCAGCTGATCAATTATTAAGATAATAAGTAATAAAATATCTGTCCATTTCTCTATCTAATGTTAAAGAATTAATAGTTAAGACCAAGTTTGTAAACAAAAACGGCTGTGAACGTCCAAACACGATCGGCTGATCGATTATGGAATTTGTCTAATGTCCGTCTCTATCAACCGTGGTTAATTTAACCGACTGGTTATTCCATCGGAATGGACCAGTTGCATTTAATTAGAACGATTCTAATTAACGACAAATGCGATTGATCAATTCCGTTGGAATAACCAATCGGTTAAATTAACGAAGGTCGGTAGAAATGGGCACAAGTGAGTTTAAGGCCTACTTATAACTTGTAACTTAAACCAAGTTTCTGAAACAGATTTCGGAGCAGACTTTCTATAATTTCTTCACGGGAAAGGTAAGTGAAGAACTTGGAATTCTATTGTAAAATGGAACGGGCCGCGTTTAAACGCTGCGAACTTGCTTGCGCCATGAAGCACGAGCTCATTTCAGCAAGAAACGAAAATTTCGAGGGAAATTCACATTGCAGCTCTTTCTAATTGCAGCAGGTTCAGATATTTATCGTATTATATTTAGACGCATGTCATATGAGATCTGTGCGTAAATTCCTGGGGCTATGAAAAATGACGATGAAATTCTAGCTGCGTAATCTCTTCAACTGATTTATGTTTTACGTTAATACTGTTGGTTAACTTGCATTCAAGTCTACATATGACAATTCACATTTGTTTACTTAACTCTTTACATTCGCAGAATATTTTCACATTTCCCCTTCCGCCAACTCGATAATTATAAGATATAACTTGTAGATTCCTAGAAGAATTATAAAAAAGGATTTTTATTTCCTCTAATGTTGTCGCCGCATTGTTTTACTGTTTTCTGTCTTTAAATCTTTCTTATGCCAACGCAGCTGGCGTCCCGAGTGCAAAAGGTTAAACACACTTCTAATTGAATTGAAAATAGAGATTGAAGAGGTGCATATCCGATATGCACTGTATGTTGCATTATTTTCATCGCGTGCCGCGGAAAGCAGCAGAATTATTTGCGAGACCTACGGTGAGCATATTGTATCCGAAAGTGCGTGCCAATCCCAGTTCCAAAGGTTTCAAAATGGAAATTTCGACGTTACTGACAAACCTCGTTCTGTACAACCTCGCAAGGTGAAAGACAACGACTTGAAAGCTCTACTCGCCGAAGATGCAGCTCAATCGTCTGTGGAGCTTGCAAAACAGCTTGCCGTTAATCGCATGACTCTATTTCAACGCTTACATGCTTTGGGAAAGATTCAGAAAGAAGGGAAGTGGATCCCATAGCAACTATGCGAACAAACTATTGGCAACCGGCTCAACACCTGCATCTCACTGCTTGCTCGACAAAAAGAACGAGTTTTTTTATGGAAAATAGTAGCTGGCGGTGAGAAATGGATTTATTACGATAAGCCTAAACGCAAAAAGAAATGATTAGATCCAAGACAACCTTCCAATAGTTGATACCAAAGCGCAATATTCACGTATTGAGAAAAAAGGTTTTGTTGGATTAAAAAAAAAAAACACCAGTAACCGCAACAAATAGTTTGTTAATATGGGACAGTAAATAACTCTATTATGATAACAGATGATTTGTCGCTTTGTTGCTCTAACCAACAATTTTATAATGGAAACAAATAGTATTGTTATGTTAATTCAACAAATCATAAATTTTTTATTTGGTGGCAATACAGAATACGAGCAAAAGTTAGAAATTATGTACAGTCTGTAAAGTAAGAGCGTATACGGCATAAATGGCAGTTGGCTTCAAATATCGTCCTAGTTTTTTTTTAACCGTATTGTGAGGCATATCTCAAACACAAGTTTCGAGGAAAAAGAGTGTGCACTTTGAAGCAGCTGACACGACAAATTCGTCTCATTTGGAGGTCTTTACCGAACGAATACGCAGTCAACTTAGTGGAAAGTATGCCTCGGAGATGCCAGGCAATTATCAATGCCGGTGGTGACTGGACTCATTATTAATGGTATAGCATTTTTCTTCTCATGGAGTACAACAAATCCATGTACTTAAAAATCATTAAAAATAAATTTTTCTACACATTAACCCGTACACGCTCTTACTTTACAGACTGTATAAGCAAATCAATTGTATTAATTTTTTCTCCGGTGTGCGATTTAGAAATGAGATTGAAATACGAAAACGGGTCGACGAATTCATCTCATCGAAAGATGCGTCATTCTCCAATCAAGGAATCCATTTGTTGCCTGAAAAACAGTCTACAGTCACAGCAAGCGAGGGAAAATATTTTGATTAAACACGTATGTATGTCTTTTTTTAATATACATAAATTAAGCGCCTAAAAAACATCAGGAACTTATGCACAAACCTGATAACAACAAATCGCACATCATTCGAATCAATTTTAATTTTATTATCGTGTGCTTTTGTGCAGCTTGCGATTGTAGAATAAATTCACGAGATGTTGTAAATACAGTCGATATATTAACAACATTGCACTAATTGGGAATAATTAAACGATTATAATTCCTGCCAAATGATTTCTTTCAGGAATGAAAATTTCCTCGTTCAATATATTACGCTGGTATGCCGTGAAATTGACGTTGCGACATTCCAACATTACGAACGATGTTCTTAGATTTAGTCTGGGCGCGCTGATACGCTGGATGTGAGATGATCACTAATTAACGCTAATGCGATTTCACGAGTAATTCTGGAAAATTTCATGGCCGGTACGAAGAAGGAGAAATTAACCGCGATGTGTCATTACTCATTATATTCTTGGGAACTAAACGTGCACATCTCCTCTCAGCTTTGTAATAGATGACGTAAAAAATACGGCGTGCGCGGTTGAAAGAAATCGACCAATCTTTTCCAACATTCAAATCATACGTATTTTTCCTTGAAGGTTTTGCTCTTTTTACAGGATAATGTAAAGAACGAGGACGAATGTTGATTAGCGTCGCAGATAATAATTTCTAATTCTTTTTTCTTGAATATCTCAAATTTTTTGGAATATATTAGGAGGTTGAATTAATTCTGGTCCCTAGATGGCAAATAGATGGCTTTAGTAACAAGTTAGTGGTTAGTACGAATGTTGAAATCTGGCAACACTGAAAGATTTGACATTTCTCTGTGAGCTATGACAGTTTGCGCGTTATTATTATTGATAGTTTCATTGTTTATACGCGTTTAAAATGGATCGTACAAAATTGCATTTTCGACATTCTTTCATTACTTTTTTTGTTTGATTTGAAAAAATCGGTAACTAAAGCTCATGAAATGCTTATTATAAGTTACGGTGATCAAGCTCCATTGTATTCCAACTGTAAATTTGGGATTCAACGATTCAAAAGTGGCGATTTCGATTTGAGTGACAAACAACGTACTGGTCAACCAAAAAAATTCGAAGATTCTGAATTGTAAACATTATTGAATGGAAACAC